TCCGCTGGTGTAATGTCTTAGTGCTGCCGCTGGGCGGCCGCTAATGTTTATTCACGAGCTACACGTGGTTTTGGTCCACGGTAAAAGCTGGAGAAGTGAGCGGCGCACAGCGAGAGGCTTCCAGAGCAGCAACATGTCTCTGTACCGCAACTCCGCCTGGTTCCTGAAGGGAGTGACTGAGTTCACCAGGTAAGACATTTGTCCTGTTGTGTGTGCGCTGTGGGAGCCGGAGAGAGTCTGACTGTCCTGCTGTGCATCCTCAGTAGTGTGTGTGTTTGTGTGGAGGATCAGCACTCAACTAAAAACTTTTCTTATAACTGAATGACTGAAAGTTGATGGTAAACTATTTATAGCAAGCTTATTATAATCAACTTAAATGTGAATAAAACCATTTTACTTAACTAAAATAAAAATGAAAACCAGACCTTTGAAAGCATTCAAACTAACTAAAGTTTAATATAGTAAAATTTGGTATCACAAACTGCCTGATGAGGGTTTGATGGACGTTTTTATTGAGGCTTTGGTGCTTTTGTGTCGACTGTTTTCAAAAAGTTCTGTTTATATTGTAATATCTAAATTGATTTGACTAACCCTTACCTCTGACATTTGGTGTAAAAACAAATTCATAAAGACTAAAACTAACACTGAAACTAATAAAAAAAATAATCAAAATCAAGCATTTTCTAACAATACAAAGTAAACTGAAACAAAAAAAAACAAACACTCTGGAAGCTAACTGAAACTAAACTGAATTAAAAAAGAACTAAAAATAAAAACTAATAAGAAAATAAAAACTATAATAACTCAAAACCATAGTGACAGTAAGAAACGCCCACTGAAAGCAGTGTAAAGTATGAATAGATTAGGGGGTGGCTGCTGCTAAATGCTTCCTAATGTTAAAGTGAATGTAAATTTCTGTGAATTAACTGTAAGTGTTACAGCACACTATGTATTACTATGTTACAGTATTATCTTAATGATCAATTTTGATGTTTGACATTTGAAAGTGTGAAAATGAGGCTGCAAACTTTAGTCGTGGTTTATGATCACAGATGGAAGGTTTTAGCAACAGACCCCTGAACATCACAGATTTGTGAATCAGTGTACACTTTATACTGACTAAGCGAGAGGTTTGTAGGACCATAACTCAGTTTTTGAACGATAACAGGCCTCTAAGAGCTTTATCAGTCTTACGTGATCTATTGCAGCCCCGAGATGCCTTTCCTCATCAGTACACAGCAAGCCAAGTGTTTTGAAGAGGTGCTTTCGTGATTGTTTCCCTTCTCTCCTTTGTTCTGTGTTATCTTATTCTCCTTGAGAGCTGCCCGACAACCCGCTCTGACCCTGCACTAATAGCTCTCTGCATGACACCAGCGAACAGAGCAGGCATTTAACCTCAGTAATTCTCTCTCTGCCTGTCCCCTTTATGCCCCACTTTGACCGCCCTTAACAATGCCATCTAAGACAATGGGGGGAATTGAGGTCCTTGGTAGCACACACGCTTAGACACACGCATACTCATAAATGACTGTTGTTGTCACCGCCATCACTCTCATCCCAAACCTCTCCTTGACAGAGACGATGCCAGGCACACGCTTTCCTTCATTGTATCTGTACAGTAAAGCTGTGAGGACATTTACAGTCAGCAGGATGATCTCAAACACTCACCCCTCGAACACAGAGGCAGAGCTAAATCTGATGGCAGCAGCAAATAAGCAGGC